ACCCAGCCAACCAATAATAACAAGCACCGGACACTATCAACGGGAGAAATTTGAAAGATGTCGCTTTTTTCCTTCACTTATCTAGGAAGCATTGTTTCAACCACACCCAGGGGAACGGATGAAGATGTGAAAGCAAGCCAGCCAGGACCGTAAAGGCAAGACACACCTCCATAAACCTGTAATCAGTTTGGAAGTCTTCCGCACTCAGCAACAGAATGAAGAACAAGATTCAGATTTTCAACACAAATGAGAGGTTAGTCAGTCAGTGCTTCTCTACGGCTCAGGAAATTGGCGTGTGACGAAAAGGATTTCCAACAAGTTGCGAACTTTTATCAACAGTTTACTACTCTTGTTTTGTATTGAAGATCAAATGGCTGGACAGAAAGAATTAGGATGTAGAAACTCTGGCAACAAACCAACTAAGAGTCGACTGCTCAACAAATGTGTAGAAGAAAATGAAGATGGATTGGACATACATTGAGGAGACCATCGAATGACATGGGGCGCCGTTCCACAGCTCGAATGGGATTCCAATGGGAGGCGACGAGTAGTAGTGGGTCGTCAGTGAGAGGGTGACATGGAGGAGATCATGTGAGGAGGAGATGAGAGATTATAGGCGGTCGTTGGGCGAGTTGAAGAGGACAGCAGAAAGTAGAACGAAGTTGAGATGTGTTGTTAAATTCGTATGTTCCACTCGTAACCCAAGGGAATAATAACATAATGGTATTCAAAATAACCCAGATTTTAAATACTTTTTATAAGGGAACAAATGTATTAGCATTACGTCGCAATGATACGCATGGTGATATGATTGGTTTTTAAGTCCTTAGTCTGTAGATTTCATATACAGATAAGTGTGTCTAAAGCTCAGAGGAGGTTTCCATTGATATAATCGCCTGTATTTTTGTAATAGTTGTTTGTCTTAAGTGAGCTATTAGGTGATAAATTTAAGCAATAACTTCCTATATGACTGTAAATATAGACAAGTCAAATATGCAAGGTTTCCGATATAAACTTCACTTATTCATAGTGTTATTTATTATGCATATTATGCAATATGCAGCTATGACAGCTGAATACACCTTACACTAATCAACTATACTAGTACACTGGCCTGTTGCATTTCATAATACCTAGGCCAACTATCTGCAATCGTGTAGACTATTGATACACCCCATCTGATTTAATATTTCCTCCTCTCTACAAAAATACATAGTACACTGAAATACAGAGAAATCCAACAGGAATAATTTAATATGGTCGATAAACAAGAAAGGCATCGTTGTTGCAAATAAGATTAGTAATAATATTATCTATCAAATGCACCTTATATTCAGAATAATGGTATGATTCAACAGATGATAGAGGTCGGGGGAAAACCTATTCTGCGGATCGATCAACACTAAACTATACAGAAGATAGGAAGGAATATTTTGTTACAAAATATGATTCTGATCCAAATTTTTTGATGAACAGATGAGAGAAGAAGAGGAAAAAAGATTTAGAAGTCTCTAATTGGATTTCTATAGAGCATGCATAGATTGCATGACAGCCTGCTTGAATAACCAATAACTAATAATGCAGAAATACAGCTTGATTTCCTACCATAAAAATATTCTTTTAAAATAGAAACACAACACAACATCAATTAAATTGAATGATTTAATACAATAAACAAGGCAATGTATGTATCTTTAGTGAGTAAAAAATATTTGAGGAAAAGGACGACCTCTAGGACAAAACAGCTTTTCTTATCGTGGGAGCAATACACCATATATATATATATATGCGTACAGCCATGGGATTATTTTGCACTCTGTAACATTGTAAATACCAATCGTTATAATTAGATCCAGTAGTCTAGTGTATTAAGATCCTGAACATAAGACCTAAAAAGAAGTGTAAAACATCATATCTGTTAAGTAATTATGCACTCTGCATGACTATTCAACTGATGTTAACTTATGGAAAGAGAAAAGAGGCTTTATTTTGATTTCGTGAATAATAATAATAATAATAATAAACACGAAAGTGAACTACCTTACAATTAATAAATAATGAAATAAAGAAGAAGAATTGAAACTGATTAATCTACATCATTCTTCCCTGTATACTACTTTCACACTTATACAACGTGTAATACCAGTAATCTGAAATACAGCTTTAACATTTAATTTCAAAGAAAATGGAGTGAATAAGTAAGAGAATGCAGGTGTAGAATTGTGACTTGTGCGTATGTTATGTTAAAGAAACTGGCAGCCAAAAAGTAGGTCAATTGATTCCACAGCCAATGAGGAATACCTACCTAAAGAAGACAAAGACTTAGACTACTGGAATGCATTTGGGCAAACACACACACACACACGCACAAACACAAACATGGGATAATATAAACACAAAAAATATACATGATTATCATGGAATAAATATAAACCATGTGAGCAGTTAAGATATATATATATCCTAAAAACAAGTCATTTCATGGTAAATTTAGTGTTCTTGTTAAAACAGAAATGCTAAAATCTAAAACATAATCTAAATAAACTGAAGTTTATTAAGTACGACGGCCTTAAGCAATGATGAATGAATATACTTCTAAGCAGTAGAGTAATTAATACCCTAGGTCTGATGAATATCCAAGGTAATCTGAACACACCGTTATATTCCTATGCCGAAGTATTTCAAAGTAAGTAAGCGATGTAATGTACAACAGTAAGAGACTTTGAGGAACACAATAAATATGCCAGAAGATATGATGGAAAATCATATCGGCTTTAATGTTTAAAGCAAAACATAATGTGAATAGTGAAATTATTTTCACTTTAAGAATTCAGTTGGTAGACAGAGGAATTAACTATACAAGATTAATCCCTACCATACTTTACTATAACAAAGCACTCAAATAGCACATTCATTGCCTGACAAATAGAAAATCACATTAATCCTTAATGTCTGATAGAAGTTTCTGTATTTCTTCAATTCGTTGGACAAAATTGTTGTCTTGAGTAGTTCAAATGTATCAAAACCATTTAATGCAGAAATGAAGCCGTGGATGTTTGCTCTGAGCGCTTGACTTCCAGTCAGTCGGTGGTCATTGGTTCAAATCCCGCTTCACATACCAAGTAGTATCAATAGCTCTCACACAATAAGTGTGGCTCCTTGCTAATCGCGTGGAAATGCAGAAAGAATATGTGTTACTATCCGCCTTCGACTTGCCATCTACAATACCTATCAGCCACAGAGTGATAACAATGCTATAATTCAAAAGTCTTTACCACAATCACTATGTGAATGATATTGGGTTGCGTGATAGGATATCAGATAATGAGTTCAATTGGCAGTGAGTATCACTAGCTGATATATGTTGTGGATAGTTCGTACGCAAAGCATTTTTACCAGACAGACAGTACTGTGTGTTAGCATTCACTTTTACAAATGTACCAGAGGAAATACAAAAACACTATTTCTGAATAACTGTTTCAATGTTGAGAGGAGTATAGAGGCATAAGGTGGCCTAATCACCTTTCGCTGCAATATGATATTCAGTCGGTGACTGGACTGCTTTATGTCTCTTCTCTTAAGGTTGAGAATGTTTGATACTCAATAAAAAAGACGTAGAATAAATTCAATTTAGAAACTGTCCTCATTCAAAAGGCTTGATGAAGCTAGCCCTGAGGATGTCACTAAACTCATCAATGAACCAACCATAGTCGAATACAGAAATTCAAAGGAAACCTAACAACTTTCTTTCTAAACGTAAATTAAAAAAGTTTTCTATTAGTGTAAAATTAGCTAAATTCGACAAATTTAACTAATGTGGTTTACAATATTCATACTTCTCAACCACATCATTATCAGATGCTTTCAAGTCGAGGCACAACTGTGCATTTACTTTGTACAAGCTCATAGAAAAATTTGCTTAAACCCATAACAAACTTTAAACACTAACCCAATATATTTATGTGGTCTTTTTATGTTAATCTATCTTCTGATGTTTTGTAGGCATTTAGCAAAAAACACGGGTGGAATATTTGCGCTTAATAATAATAATAATAACAGCTTTATTCCAAACAGTATTTGTGGTACAGGTATGGAATTTTCAGCGTGCATTACAGTATATTGCATCTAATTACCTCATAAATTATAGAAGATTTTTAAAAATCAAAGATAAATAAATAAAAATAAAATAAATAAGTTATAAATAAATAAAATAAATAAAAATTAAAAATTAAGAAAAAAAAACAACGTAGAGTATTTCATTTCAAACAATGCACCACAGGATTTGAAATATAAAGTTGATGTGTGGTAGAAGATGAGAACAACAGTGTAGTAGTAACGAGGAAAGGAAAACAAAAACTAATGGGACTATTTGTTAGAGTGCTGCAGTAAGTTTATCGTGTCATACCTAACGGATTTCTCATCACTTAACAGGTGTGCCAGATATGGTATTGTGGAGTTTTTGTATTTGGTAGTCCTAGCATATAGCCTCCTATAGCTGCTTCTAGTTCTACCAGATGAAATGCAAGGAGATAGATGCGTATAGAGAGGATGCTCGGGGTCCGACAATATTGTATTCGCTAGTTTCTTACATGACATAATATGTCTATCTACAATAGTGTTCACCAGTTGGTTTAACGATATCCCACTTGCCCTACTAACAGCTTTTAGTGCCCTTCTCAGCGAAGCAAAGTCTTTCTTAAGTAGTCCAGGAAAGACTAATGGGGAGCCTTCTGATAGGCTTCTTCACATATCGTCAGTACCAATTCTACTGCTTCTTTCCACATATACAAAAGTAAGTAACTCAGGTAATCCATGCCTTGAACTGTCTACACAATTAATTACAGTTCTTGAAGCATGCATGTCTATATTTATCATCAGGAAATCGATACAGAAATAATGGAATGTAAACCATATTGGATTATGGTTTGTGTACAGTTGAAATGTTTATTGAAGAAAGTCTACATATAAGTATCAGTATAAATATTCACACATCAACCTACCTCAAAAGTGATGACCGCTTCAGCTGCTTTCGCTGATGAAGTAAACAAATATTCCAGTGGGCATACATCATCGCAGAGTACCTCTTCAGTACCAGGCAATCCATCGGCTATGTCATTTGAACTGCGGTTACGCATAACGAGACAATAAGCATCAGGATCAGCTTCATCCAAGCCGTATTTATTTAAACTTTCACGTATTATATAGGCAACTTTATCTGTGGCTGATATTAATAATGTTTTATAGGGTATTTCTGGAAATAATTGACCACCGTAAATTTTCAGTGTTCCACCTGTACATCGTTTGTATGTAGGCAGGGGGATAGAGAATAGCAAGATGGGAGAAAAAAAAAGAAAAACAGGTGAATATTGACTGAAAAGGTGACAAGTATACTTCGCTTAGCATGAAAAAACCACACCACATTTGTATCAAATATAGTGACCATGTATGAAGATACATAAATTAAATTCTCTTTCTCTTACAACAGAAATTAATTATCGATGGAAAGGACAGAAAAACAGTCGTCCACTAATCCTGTAAAAGTGAAAAAGTCAATTTACAGGTGACAAATTAATTACTTAAATGTAACTCAACGTAAGGCATTAATTTTTCGCTTAATAATGGTTTCAGTGAATTATTACTAAACTATGTAAAACCTTAATATTACATCGTAATGTGGTTGCTGTAACAGATATTTGGATTACTGAACAGGTGAAAAAAGGTGGACGGAAACATCCATTTAATGCTTAACTGAAACAAATAATAAAAGTTATGAGAGTAGGATCGGTTGAGTTCACCTTATTATTATTGTCCCTCGCATTAATATTATTATTATTATTATCAGTTTAATCAATTGCTTCCGTTCACCTAACGCTTATGGTTGTGCAGTGATTACTAATTAACTGTTTCTCTTTTAAATGACGTAATTCACTCACTGCTCTCTTTTAATTTCCAATCCATATGACCTACTTTAATTATGCGTATAGTGTTTGCCTGCTTCATTAAGCGTGTCGGTGTGTATTGTGTATACCTATTGCTATGCATCTATTCAATCTCTCAATGTACACCAGTATACAAAAAATAATGTATCTAAAGTAAACTGGGTAACGACATCTAATCTAACTTATGAATTTAACAATTCTCCTTTTGGTTGGAGCATTTCATCATGAGCTGACATCAGTTACAGAACCATTGGAAAACCCAGGAGTACTGGACAGCTGTTTCGCCCTAGTTTGGGACTCTTCATCAGCACGCATCCACCGGGGTTCGAACAGGACACAGCAGATTGAAGGTGAGGCAATAACTTGCCGAAGAAGATATTGCAAAGTGGTTGTGCTATGTTGTGAAATGGTAGAAGTCAGAATTCATGGGACACTGGATCGGGTCCCAGTGGCTTAATAGTCTACGAGCTCGCCTTGTAACCAGAAGGTCCTCGCTTCGAACCCCCGGGGTGTGTACTGATGGTGATTCTCAAACTACGACTAAACAGCTGTCCAGTAGTCCCAGGTTTTCCAACGGTCCTGTAAATGATTTCAGCTCATGATGAAATCCTCCAACCAATCAAACAAAATCCCTACAAAACCAATACTTGAAAATTCTCTTTTTGTTCTTTGTTTTAGATGTGTATGGGTAAACAACTGATTGCAACTTTTAACTATACATGAAAGCTGTCTAATGGAAATCGTATAGCTAGTGACCTTACATAACTTAGACATTACAAGCAGCCACAAATAGGCAAAGAATAACTAGCATTCTCTGATGAGAATATAATATCGGCTGAGTCGTCTAGCCCCTTTTAAATCATATATATATATATATATATATATAATTTCTGCCAGATTTTAAGCCACACTATTTATTTTACAGGCCTAATCTTTCAGTTTCTTTATCACACAGTTACAGTGAGTAATGTTAAAACTTACATCTAAAGATGATCTAACGTATACAACCATGCTTCTTTCAAGAAGTCTTAGTCTGACAGATATTACGCCGTTTAACAATAAATACGAAATTTGCGTACTTGGAAATGGTAAGAAAATGTAAGGCGTTTGAATAGTAATACAACTAAAACTGTAAAATCATATCTTCCCTCTCAAGGAGAACTTCAAGTTACAGACGATGAATCCCGGCGTCCTGAAAATTATTTAAATATATCCACTGAAAATTAAACATCACTTTTATGTGTCCAGTAAATAAATTCTATCATGCAAACAACAGGACTGAGGAGGAAAGAAGGGGATATAGCGCTGACCAGCTGGATTATAGTTATACATGAAGAAATTGAAATAAAAGATCATATCATGCTGTCTTCAACTATGAGGCGATATAAATAAAAAATTTTAGCCCACCTGTTTACTAACTAAGTGAGCAACACAGTTAAAAATAATGCGAGTTTTACAAACAAAGCCTTTTAGCTTGGTGAATAATGCGTATTATTTTGCCATGGAAATTTCATATTGCCATCTGACTTTTATGTTCGTTTTGAAAAAAAAAGAAACCAACTAGAGTCCAAAACCTCGATCAGACATGCTAATTTTATAAGCTTACACATCTCTTGTTTCGAAATATTTGTATATTTAGCATGTTACTTCAAAAACAAAAACTGGGCACAGTATGCAATTATCAATCAACGGCTTAAGAAACTATACTCTTAGGGCTTGTCAATTTATTCATTTCATTTTTATTCGCATACAATACAGACAAAGGAGACAACAACACTGTCAACCACCGCAATTTAAAACATCCACTATGTCAAATAATAAGAACAATAGTAATAAGACAAATCTACACCAGAGTGCGCACGTCCAAACAGAGATTATATACAACAAAAAATAATAAAAGATACTATTGAGAGAATATAAAGGCCACACTAATATTATTATTATTATTATTATTACTACTACTACTACTACTACTACTACTACTACTACTACTAATAATAATAATAATAATAATAATAATAATAATAATAATAATAATAATAATAATAATAATAATAAGCGTATCAACAATCAAAAGTGTAAATCAAGTATCATCTTTGTGTTAAATCGTATTTAGCGTGTACTAGCAATGCCAGTGATAGACTGAGAAATGAATGTATTCACTACTTTAGATCGATAAATCAACTATAATAAACAAAGTTTACCGTTTATTTTTGTGTGTGAATACTATATATATATATATATATATATATATATATATATATATATATATAAGACTGAAAAAGACTAGTTTAACGATCAACTGTACTTTGTTATCACTGTAATGGTGGCTTTCACTATAATTTACTACAAAAAAGAGCTGAAAAGGTGACTTGGCATATTTATTTTTTATTTTTGATTTACAGCTTGATTCCACTCTGTATTTTCGGTACAAGTATGGAATTTTCAGTATGGATATCGGTAGCCCAAATTTTGCAGGTCGACCATAGATATCAGGTGTGCGTCGGTGCGGGCTCGAACCCCGGACCATGTGCATGGTCGGCAAGAGTCCTAACCACTGTGCCACCGACGCACAGTGGTGACAATCTCTCCAAAACTAACAATACCAGAAAATTATTTATTCATGACTAGGTTTGAAATAGCTTCCCTGAAGTTATAACAAAAACTCACAGTTGGTGAGGTCCTTCATGTCAAGTATGGAGTCAAATACTCGCTAATTACACCAGATAGCTACAAAGTGTCGTGCTAGGAATTGGTGAAAGTCATAAAATGCGCAGTACTGTACTCGCTTAGTAGCATGGCGGTCCTAGATTTGACCCTTAGCAGGGTTATGGATGTATGGCTAAAGCAGAATGGAACAATTATCCAAAATTTGTCTAATTCCAACAGTTTATGCAGCTGGTTCCGCTTCATGATGGAATTTACATTGATAAAGTTTGTACTATTAGGATATTGCAGATAGAAAAAAAAGGCATCATACAATGAATTGAATGAGATAAGAAAGACAAACCTTTAAACACTTAAACTGTAGTTCTGTGAATGCAATCAGTTCAATTTCGACGTTATGGAGACTTATTTAAAGTGGATTTCATAGGATGACGATTGGAAGGCATGACTATTGTTTTTTAAACTGGGCCCAGGCTGAGCCATACTTCATATACTTATTCCGCTTTGTGAATGAGAATGAAGCAAAAACAACGGTGTGTACAGAATAAGCTGGTACCACCGTTTATCTGTCCCTGTGATTTGAGTTGAACTCATCGCATTATTACTCAGCTTATTAGTTACTCATCATCTTATCCACCTTTTGTCCTCATTACACCACTCTTTTGCCGTTGTATCCGAGCTTTTGTTTATTGGTTTGGACTTAAACTTCCTGTGCATAAGCTACATAAATATAGTATTTGAGCATTGTTTATTAAGTTTTGAGTCTCCTGTCAAACGACATTATGTAACATTTGCACGTATGCCAAAATTTCTCTGTACATAAACTTAATAATTCCTTTAGGCTGTACGAAGAAGATTGGAAACCAACGACATAAACGATGGCACTGTCTTTTTCTCCATGAACCATACTTAGTGTATGAAGGCTGGTGAGCCTACCCAGCTGCTGGAACCTAATTAGATGAAGCGGGGTTCGGAATCCGGACTCACTGACTGAGAATCGAGAGCTTACAAAAATGAGCCACGTTTCCACTAGGTTCGGCTAAAATAAGACAAGTGTTGGGGCGGGTGTACTGCTCATCAGTCCGCTCCGTCCTCCTTTATGGTTGTGAGACCTGGCCACTGAGAGTGGAAGACATGAAAAGACTAGCTGTCTTTGATCATAGGTGCCTGCGTTCTATTTCCCGTGTAAAGTGGCATAATAAGGTGAGCAACATGGAGGTTAGGCGTAGAGTTCTAGGTAAACGGGGGAAATCAATCGACGAAGTCGTGAAGCTACAAAGACTGAAATGGTTAGGACATGTGTTACGTATGCCAAGCCATCGCCTCCCTCGACGAGCAATGTTAGCGGATATAGGGTCAGGCTGGAAAAAAGCTAGCGGAGGTCAAACAAAAACTTGGCATCAGTCAATGAAATCCACAACAGTTGGTCTAAGCCATGTAGAAAGGTGTAGACTTCCAGGCTGGGGTCCTCGGGACGGTAAAAATCTATGGTTGGAAACAATTGGTGACATGGCTCAAAACCGTTCTCAGTGGCACAGATGCATCCACTCCCTGTGACTTATGATCTTCAATGAAACTGTTTTGTATTTCTTTATTACTCCTTTGTCTGACACCTCTGCTCACTGTTTCTATTATGCTTTTCTTGTACTTTCTTCTCTTGCTTCGCGTGCTACACGGAATGTGGCGACTTGAACTTCCGCACATTTGTGCAAAGTTCTATGTCGAAAACAGACAGACAGACAGTTGGGGTTAAAACAGATGATCTGAATGTGGACATTTCAATCTAATGCAGATTAAAAATCACTTCGTTGGACCTATAGTGCTAACCAATCGGAACTGTTTTTATACCTCAAACCAGTGAACTGCTTGTCATTTTATTATTTTTTTTTCCTTCACGTTCCCCGGTGGAACACATAGGGCTTCAAGCTAGTGGCTTGAAGTTTCTGTAGCAGTGATGTTTATTTTTACAGGATGGGGTTGCTAGCCCCATGCTTAATCTTTCCTCTTTACCAGCATTATTTCTGGCTTAGCGAGGTAAAGGAGTGCGTAGGCCGGGGATCGGACCCCGGACCATGTACATGGTCGGGGAGCGTCCTAACTGCTGTGCCAACGATACACTAATACAACTTATAATCAACTGTAATTCCTAGTTATACTGTCATTTTCATTGAACAATAAATCTTTGCCTTCTCAGTAAGTCTTTTATGTTTTTCTCCGTGTGAGTATAGTATTCGTATATTTTGTGTGTTAAAGTAACATCAAGAACGAACCCGAATTTAGTATTATCCTCACGTGACAAAAGCTGTTGTAGGATTAGTTTTCCTGACACCTTTTAAGTATTATTAGATAATTATCTCTTGTTTGTTCGACTGAAATGTGCCTTCTAATATCATCATATGAGTCTTCTTAATGACTTGTTAGGGCCAGAAAACCTACCAAAACGTTTTTGGATTGTCGTTGCTTTTAGCTGGTTTTCCTGTGAATGTTTAGCGAACTTAAAAGAATGGTAAAGCCAACAGAGGAGTTTCGATAATAGTGCACTGTTCATATATATTCCAAAAATGACACTACAGTTGTCTGCGAGAAATATGATGCTTAATAAATGATGAAAGGTTTTATTTGGGTAATTTGATTAAATATCTGTAAGACAGATAGACAACCAAATAAACGAAAACTAGATTACTTCTTACACAACATACAAAATAAGCTTATAAAAAAATTCACTAGCATTTCTGGGGGAGAAAAGCAACACACCTGTTTCAGGGCTATTATGACGCAATATTTGAATTAGTTTGGCTTCCAAAGTACGCTGACGCTTTCTCTGCATTGCTGCCTCGGGATCTGATATTGTGCGTGTGAAAGACGAGTCTGGCGGGGCATCTGGATTGGATAAAGTTCGGTTATTACTACTGTTATCACAATTACCATGATGTTTAGCTATCCCGGGTAGACAGTTTTCGGGAAGGAAATTAGATCGAGAAGTTTTTGATAGTCCTACACTTGCTGCACAGCCTATTGGGCCACGTCTACTGTTTGTCTTCACAGCCACAGATGAATTCAGCTTTTCACGGCGAAAAGACCAACCACGCCTAAATAGACGCGTTTTACCATTTATTGCAGATCCAGTGCAATTTGTGTCAGCCAACAGCTTTGATACATTTTGATTTTCAGAAGTGCTTGTCTTTATTGGATTAAATAAAAGTAAGGTAATATTGTGTAGATACATTTGATAAAACTGAGTGTTAAGTTATAATGAATTAGGCAAATATATGATATATGTACTAAATATATGATATACTCCAGGTAGGGGTACTAACAGCATAAATATTTGTCAAACATTATAAGCATTCAAAGCCAATTACTTCTCAGCAACAGTTACTTTTATAATTATATCGATGCAGTCTGTTGGTTATACTAGACGCAATCCACCAAAAATAACCATAAAAGTAAACACCGTGTCCTGACTCATGAGCAAAATACCAGGCCTTCTCTACCTAAAATCTTTGCGAACCAGTTAAGCTGTGTATACGAAATTCCAAATATGAGTGGACAATCGTGGGGAAGATACGAAATAAGTAGCAGTAGGATAGATACATTTACACCTCATTTTCGAACTATGTAACATATTTTTATACTCTTATGCATTTTTCAGATTGGCGGGACAACTCCAGAAAGTATGAGTTTCATTTAATTTACCTTTGCTCTTGGCATGCTCGTATGATGTAATTTAACAGCTTTTTTCAATGTCTGGCTGTATGGGATGTGGAAGTTATTTGTATGTTCAAAGTGACAGGTTTTGGCAGTCATAAAAGGTCTACTAATGAGAGGTGATATTTAACTAGATTACAAACTAATGAACTAGAGTATGGTGGTCAAACTTATCTGTCTTAATTTTCCACAAGCTTAAGGTAAATAAATCTCAAGTCCGAAAATCCTTATTCTCCCTAGTCTTGTCAGCAGCTTCACTTTTTAATTTTAATAATTAACACTATTAGGGTTCACAATCAATTTCTTATTCGATTTCATAAATACCGGTGACAAAAATTTTGTAATTTTATCTTTTTGCAGCGTAAACCATGAGTCCGAAGAACGATTCATACAAAAAAAGCTCAATCATATGCGAAAATTCCAGAGCTTGTCACAAAGGGCTTAACAATAAAAAAAACAGCATACCTGAACGCATCCACTATTAGGCTCCAATTTCAAAACGAACTTCCCTTCTCTATCTAATTTACTCCAACTGAGTTGAACCAATAAGGGATATTCATCATTTGTCAGTCGTCTAACTAGTAAATATCGTTTTTAAATAAATGTCAGAAATTTAACAGATAGAACAGTAGAAGTTAAATAGTGAAAATAAGTATTGACAAAGAAGTCACACTTACTCAGTTTTCTAATAAAATTGATATTTTAATTGATTAGCATGACTGTGCAAGTTAGACTTCACTTTCACGAAATCGGTTTTGAAACAAAGATCCCCTAAGTAAATGTTTTTTTTTCAAAATAAGCATTTTATAAGCGATTCATGTGTATCTTTTTCCAATTCACTCACAATGCATTAACCTAGTAGTTCTGAAAAATGCATGCAGATACTATAATTCAGCATTAAATATATAGTAATAATCTCTTGTTCAAGTCAAGTTTCATATAGTGCACCATTTTAAAACGTAACCTTTATCCTAACTGAGTACATAGGAATGTGAATACCCTTTGACAGAAACTACTATTTAAGTGAAATAAGCGGTGTAAAAAAGATAATTATTGAATAAAAATTTATCGAACAATGTTTATTTACAGTGATTTGCAGAAGTATCACGCTCCCAGACACACCATAGTTTGGAAAAAGATGTAAGCATCACTACAGTGTCAATATTTGGAGTCTTTGATTACTGTTTCGGGCCATGTACAGAAATGTGGAGCACTTATTCGAATACAATGAGTCAACTGCACTTATTCATTGATGTTACATATTTATGGAAATAAAGCCATAAATCTAAGTCACGTATTTGAGGGAATCCATGTTCCCTTTAAGATTCTAACTCGCAAAGTCGGAAACTTTGCCACTAAATTATTTCAGTGCCGCTAAACTAAAATAACTAACTTTACCACTTTTTTTAATTACGGTAGCAGTTATTACACCTTGACATACATTTGAAGGCAATCAGATGTAAAGTTATTTTACATATATTTGAAAACACTTATTGTCTACATAATCGTCATAGGAAGAGACACAGCCGTTCACTAAATTCAGTGTTACTTTCTGATAATATTGCTATTAACATATTAGGGGCATTATAAAAGCCATAAAAGTGAAACGTGCTATCGTAAAACAGATACTGAACACATTTGCAGGTAAATATGAACATACACAGGCATTTATTTTTAACCAGGTGTTACATATTTTACATTCAGCGCTAATCTCACATGTGTACGTGTAAGAGTTCACGATATTACCTAAACAGACAAAGTTAAGCTAGTAAGCAAATTCCATGTGGGCAAAACATGATGGAGGGATCGAGAAATACTTAAATAATCAGCTTAGTTTTCTGACTGAACACCATGAGTGGTACTAAACATTTATGTTGCTTTGAGGTCTAATTCACAATTCTACTTTATATATATAAATATATTATCGGGAAATCACTCATTCAAATGAGAATGATTCATATTACTGTAAACGCACAACCTGGATATTGGGAAGATTTATACAAATACCATAGTTGGCTACTGAAAAATTCAAGAAATAACACTGCAGAGGTGATTATTCACTTTTATTTATTTCAATCCCAATGTCACACTTAATCTAACCACTAAAAGTAACTCAACTTCTGATACAGATACTAATTTAGAGAACTCATACCTTCACCATATCAAACCATGTTGAATGGTTCTAAGTATCTCATTAGTTCATTCATCAACATCACTGCCCATCAGTTTTAGTTAATTTTCAATTCATTCCACTAATTTTAACACATTTCCTCAAAAGATCCACATGTAAAACTCGAAACACTGCATTACTTAGGCAGCTTTACAAATACCTTCAGAAATTAGGAACATTATGAACGTCACTCTCTACTTTGAAAGACACTGCGAATGAATAATCATTTCTGAAGAGCTTGACTATTACTGGCTTAATTAAATTATTCATTTTCAAAGCCATATGAAATGATAATAAACATATGCAGAATGAAGTAGTTAGCCGCTTTATTACATCGATGAAATACCTTGCAACACGCTTTCTAATGGTTATTAAAATATACTCTTTTCAAGAGATAACCTTACAAGCCTGCTAAAATACCAAAAATTCACAGTGCAAAAATAAAACGAACCTCCATTTGCATGGTGCTCATAGATCCCAAAACGCTTAGTTATCAAAGATGGTTCTTGAAGGCAAAATTTTTCTTTCAAGATCTCCGCTACTTCAGACGTTTTAGATGTGCTGGACACTCTAATGCACTTTGTGTGGAATCTCTTATTGTCGTCTTGAAGGAAAAATCGCATAACCCCATTAAATTCACATTTCTAAAAATGCCTCCCATATTTCAGTTTTTACCTCATCTGGAATTGAGAGTTCGAATAAATCCAGTCTGCTAGAATTCCACTCTAAAATCTGTCCAATTAGTCTTTCTCTGCGTTCAGCCTGGAACCCCATAGGCAGAAAGAAGCAAATACAGCGCTGAACATCATTTACAATGCGTTAGCCTTTCTCAAGGACATGGGTTTTATACTTAGATCAACCAAACACTCAATGAAACACGTACAAGTTGGTTCAAACTTCAATTTTGAAAATAAGAACAGACGTAGAGCCCAAATGATTTCGCTGAATTCAATTCAAGAGGAGTTTGGAGTAGTACCTAAAAATAAGATTAACGTACCCGTTCAATGAGCAATAAATGAATAAGATGTTCTAGCTGCAAACACTAAGAAGTTCTGTAGTTGTGAATGTAAGACCTGCAGCTTCATATGACCCCTTTTCAAATATGTGGCAAGCAATTCCTGTTTGAATGGCATTTATTAAGACGATAATACAAATATTTACTGGCTTCATTTGATTGATTTGATTATTGACCATGACATTTAAACCATTACAAAAAACCATTATAAATTATTTAAATTAATCCCAGTGTGTTTAGAAAATCAAAACGAGGTTTTTATGAACGTTTCGCTGTGTAAGCCACAGCTTCTTCGGCAGATTTTCTTAACACGCTGGGATTAATTTAAATAATTAATAATGAATCGATCTGACTCGCTCAAATTACTCCAGGAGTTTCGTAACACCTACGGTCTGGAAACTTATAATATTACATAAATCCACCAAAATATGTGCAGCAGAAAACCTGACGTCGAGACCACACGCGAACAGTCTATTCGCATAACTTGTATTTATTTGGGTACTTCAACTAATATTTCTGCATATGATAGCTTGCTTCTGACTTATCCGCCATCATTCCCAGACGCGCACGACTTTCTTTGTTAACATAGGCAGATACCAACACACTTCAGTTGATTCACGGCTCCAGGCCAGTTACACGTTTTAAAAAATCTCAGTATGCTCATTATCTACCAGTGATAGAATGTGTTGGAGACGGTTCCCACTTCAATTAGAATGACAATAAATACCACAACCCATAGTGTATGGGGGATACTGTCTGCCGAGCTAGTGCAGAGAGTCTATAGCAAACAATTGAAGCAGTAAAATATAGCTCACTTGCTTCTTTTTCTTGCTGTAAGCCTATGTCGCGCAGCATTACTTGGCGTCACGCCAATAAAGAAATATTTAGATTTCACTTCGATTGCACATTATTGGAGGGATTCGAAAAATGCACTTTCAGCACCTAATCCTCAACTGCATAAAAAGATTTGTCCACATGTATTAGTCTGATAGACTCAGGAAACAGATAGCACGGCAACAACTGGATAGTCTAAAAGGGCTGAACCCCACAGTTTTACACATTGTAGATCAGTTCACAGAAAATAAATTTTGGCTACATTCCTCTCAGGCCTTCATTCATTTGAGCGAAAATTCTCCCTGTTTCATGATATGGTCCAACCACAACTCGCTTGCTAATTGCTCAGACGATTTTTTCACTTTCAGTCGCAAACAGTGACGAACACTTTTTACGAAACAGTGCAAAGCCAGGAGACAAACACTTTATAAATCAGGTAGCTAGTATTTGCACGAAATTCCAGGTAGTCAAGCAACAGTTGAATCAATGCACAATAAAGCTTAGAAGCAACTTTAAAGGTTGACGGATATTAAAGGTTAGACGTGATATCTCGTTCAACAACTTCTAATTAATTTATTCTCGCGTACCAAAGACAAAGCAAAAGCCAATAATTGGTCGTCCAAACGAACAAATGTATTTAGGAACCAAAACCAGCCGATAGACGAACGCTTAGCTAGCTAGTGATCGTGCACGTGACACGACGAGGTACCAAATGGCGGGGATGCTTGACCGGAAGCCTTCAGCTGAACAAGTCGAATTAAACAGTGGTTGTCAGCATCCAATGAGTGATTGCTGTGGTCAATAATTTTGGGGAATTATTTACCGCTACACAACTATCCAATATTTTAGTTCACACTTAAAATAAACATCGCAAAAGCAGTCTGATTCCTAAACCAGGAGTCCTTCTATAAGATATTAATAGGGTCTATTTCTACGCGGAAAACTCAGAACAGTGCCCATGAAATCATGATGAAATTATGATAACACTAGCGGTTTAATTTTAATAAATCCTCAGTGATGTGAGCGAAAACGAAAGCAGAAAGACAGAAACAAAATAATACGAGGTCTGTCAGGCAGAGACTTGTCGAAATCAATTTTTATAAACACATCGTTAAGCAGGTAGTTCAATAAATGTCATCAGATATGGGTGGCATGTTGTTCCAAAATACTTAAATCACTATAAGTAAATAGAGTCATGGTGTGGAATATTAGTGGCTTTGAAAGTCGACCCTGCCAAACGACTTTCATACCCGAAATCATCGTGCTTGTAACAAACGATAAAAGTTATGATGAATTTTTCATATCCGATTTATCGACCATTTCTGTGGAATTCGGTAGTCTTGACGGGGCTGTAATTTGAAATCAGTGATATCATAAGTATAAGCAGACATGTTTACTTATTTCAGACGGCAAGTTTCGAAGGTGAAATATGTGTGTCTCTTTTCGGAAAAAGACTATTTTTCAGAAGCCATCATAATTTTATGTGTAATACTAAAATGTTTTGGATTATAGTCCCGTCTTTCGTATGTTCTTTAAATTTACTTTTCCTTATTCTACTGAAATTTGCTTTTTCTCATACGATTTCTACTCCTTTAAAGAGTGCTTAATCACGCATGATTGTAATACCTAGCTGAAGACTGGTTGGTCATTGGTTGTTTGCAGCCAACACCAGAAAACGAAACGAAGTTTCAATTGCGCTGTCTACGAACTAGATGATGGCCCAAAAGTTTCTAAAATCTTATTTTATAATTCATCCATTTAATCTATCGGAACAGTACCAGTTTTTCGGTATTTTCTGATCTGATATATAATTTATAATTACTATCATTGTGAACAAATAAACATTTGGACTTGTGTAAATGTCCGTTCCCTGTTCATTAGTTAAGATGATGTCAGGAGCAGCCTGACCAGCTGGTTACGTGGGCTAAGATAAAGAGTCTGAAGACAATGAGTCCGAGATTCCGATTTAGCGGGACAGATGGTTAAACAACTATCGCGATCGTTATTTATAGTTGGGACTACCCGGAAACCACCTCGAAATCGTTCGACAAGCCCAACTAACTATTATCTGTAGCCATTATACTACTGAGATTCACATCCCATAATTTTCACATCAAAGAGTCATAAACACTATTGTACAAGAACTATGTACTCCTCCTGCTTGAGTACTGTATATTTACCCTACGTAATATATTTGTTGAAGACTAGCTGAAGACTGAAAGTTTTCAAAGAAGATCTACAAGTGGGATTCGAGGAACAAGACTAAAAGTTCCGTAGAGCTATCGTTGTAGAGTCCCTAAGACCGAACACTTTAGTTTAAAATCCCCAAAATAATACTGTACTTTCCCAACGACAACCTTTACTTCTTCACCACATAACCTACCATTTTGTTACCGCTTACGCCAGTAAATATGCTAGCACCTACTTTTCTAACACCTTCAAACATTGTTCAATTTTTGGCCTTGCTACCGACATGCCAATAGGTTGTTGTCAAAACTAACTGAGATAACCCTTGATCTATGCAGAAATTTATTTATTGTTAACGTACTAACTGGATGCAATACTGTGGTAAAATGTTGAGAATTCCACTCTGTATCACAACTACTATTTTGGAATGAAGCAAATTATTCTTAATCTTAATATTATTATGTTGCATCTATCACTGTCGGGCTTCTTAGATATCAGGTCTAGTGCCACAACGTTTGATGTGTATGTTGCCTCTCACTAACCAGTAACGATTGTAAATTTTCCATCTTCATGTTACTGTTTGACGTCAGTCCACTCATGCAGCCGGTCACCTACTTATAACTCTAGCTCCAGAGACCCACGTGTAGAAATCGGCAACAGTCATCATTCTAATGGGTTAATTTTGATGCAAACTACCAATGAGTAATTAGCGTGACGGTGAAAAGACATCAACCTAAGCTTCTCTAGAATTTTTCCAACACTTCGATTCTTCAGGCTATTAACGGATCGTTGTTCTAGTTTGATCCAGCAGTATCATTTGATTTTACAATTAGAAGAAATTAATGTTGTCCGTGTGTAACTGAGTAAATGGGGCCCATTCTCAAGGCATTTTTCGTACTACTGATGTACTTTGCATATTAAAACAGGTATAAACTCCGACAACTGAACGCACTGTGTGATTATATTAGATATAATCATGGCTGTGAAAGCGACATGTCAACTATGTAAATGCTCTGCATTTATGTGAGTGGACTATAATTATTCCTACTTACGGAGACGGACCTGTCCTCAGGGGATGAAATATCACTTATATACCTCACGATAATTTTTGATCTACGCACTATTATACTCTGTTTTATCTTACCTAGACCTTCAATAAAACTATGACTTAGCCTTTTGTTCGTATTCGTCGCTTGCTTAAAACCTGGTTGCACTGGTGTAAAAAACAACAACGCTGTTTGAACAAGGCTATATTTTCATCGAAAATGTCGTAGTTTCCATAGTAATACCAATATGGTTAGCATTAAGCATTATAAATATGTGCTATTATTGCAAGGATTTTTTAACTCCTTGTCGTATATATCTTGAAAATGTACTTCCAGTGATGTATTATCCATTACTATATATTATACCATTTTGAAGTTTCGCATAGCGTTCTTCTCTTCCTGAAATAGCTTTTAATCAGGTGGCGGCATAGTACTTAATACACGCTGTTCACTGATTGATCATAGCAATCAGCAGGAAATGGAACGAAGTTCGGGCTGTCGCTCGACCTTGATGGTGACCTTAGTGAAGGGTTCCAATATCCAATATCGTTTCAACGAGCTAGTATAAACCAATTTGATTTCTTTGTGCTCGCCTCTTGATTTTGAAGTAAAGGTTCCTGATCTTCGGTGAACTTCTGCGTAGCTCGTCCCGCTACTTGACTGTCGTAGCTTTGGTTGACTCCAAAGGAGTA